GGGATGGGTGCTGGGGGCGCTGCCTTCTGCTGTAAGTGCCGTCTGGCTGTCCCGCCTCGGCCCCTCAGGCTGTCTCGTGGACCAGAAGGGGAAGATCCTTATCCCCGACATCAACGAGGCGGTGGCGCCCGTGACGGACGAGGAGCTGGGGCTGTATGAGGACATTGACTTTGACGTGGAGGAGTACGCCAAGGATGTTGGAGCTGAGACCCTCCTGCACAGCTGCAAGGTGCTGGCAGTGCTAGGTGGCCAGGGTGGGGGTGGAGGGAGAGGTCAGAAGTGAAGGACAAGCCCAGGGCCAGAGTCAGGGTGTCAGGGAGAGACCACCAGGGTGAGGCCTGGGAGTGGGTTGGTCAGACTAGGGCAGGGGTGGCCTGGAGCCAGGAAAGTGGACTTGGGGCATGAGGGCTGTGGGTGGGGTCTCCCAGAAGGTTTGGGACAAGACCAGTGCCCGTTGCCTGGATGGCATCTTGGGTCAGGTTGGGCAGGCTTCCTGGGGTCAGCCAGCATCACAGCTCGGTTTGGATGCGGTGTCCGGGTGACAGTTTGTCACTGTGTGCCACCTTGGGCCTTTGCAGCTCCCTGATGTGTTCTGGACTTGAGGTACTCTGAGCCTGGGCTGCCCCTGACCAGCACCCCCAACCCCTGCCATGTCCCCACAGAGAGACGTCCTGATGCATCGCTGGAGGTACCCATCCCTGTCCCTCCATGGCATCGAGGGTGCCTTCTCGGGGTCTGGAGCAAAAACCGTCATCCCCCGGAAGGTGGTGGGCAAGTTCTCCATCCGGTTGGTGCCACACATGACGCCGGAGGTGGTCAGCCAGCAGGTGAGTCAGGACAGGGACGGGGAGTCAGCAGTTGTGAGAACAAAGTGTCCACTGGCTGAGAAGTTACTAGAATGAGAATGCAGAGGTTTATCAGGTTTCCAGGCTGTGTCTTCACCTAAGGCGTCAGGCCATACATCTGTATCTACTCTGTCATGTCTCGGGGAACTCGGGCAGAGAGGACCAGGCCCTGAGTGACCCTGGGGGAGTGCAAGTTAGCCAGGCATGCTGGGAGCCTCACCCCAAACCAGGGAGGCCTTACAGAGCTCTGAAGGCAGTCTCCCCAGAGGAGGGTTCTCAGGAAGTGGGCCTAGGGCTCTGGTGCCATCGAGATCCAGGTAGAGCTTCGTCTGTCAGTTTTGGTAACTTGGGTGCCCACATCTCTTGGTGCACCTGGGTACCAGGTGAATTATTTATAATGAAACGGGAACCGTGGTGACCTGGGCTCTGCTTGGCAGAGCCCCTGGCTGTCCTGACTGTAGCAGTAGGACCCTGCGGCTGGTCCCATGCTGGGCTCACATGGCACTGTCCTTTATCCCTGGCACAGGTAACCAGCTACCTGACCCAGAAGTTCACTGACCTGCAGAGCCCCAACAAGTTCAAGGTGTACATGGGCCACGGCGGGAAGCCCTGGGTGTCGGACTTCAACCACCCGCACTACCTGGCTGGGAGGCGGGCCCTGAAGACAGGTGAGGGCGGCTCAGGTGTAGGAACACGAGCTGTGACAACAGCTCTCTGACAAGGGTCTGTCAGGAGGGCTTGGCCACCATCCCTCGCGGCTCCACCTAGTCTGTGTTTGGTTCTAAATGATGGGACCACAGTGGGCAGAAAGTCAGCTGGTTCCCTCCATTTCCAGTGTTTGGCGTGGAGCCGGACCTGACTCGGGAAGGTGGCAGCATCCCCGTGACCCTGACGTTCCAGGAGGCCACCGGCAAGAATGTCATGCTGCTGCCTGTGGGCTCTGCTGACGACGGGGCTCACTCTCAGAATGAGAAGCTCAACAGGTGAGGAGTGTGTGGCAGTGGGCACGGTGGTGGCAGTGGGCACGGTGGAGGCAGTGGGCATGGTGGAGGCCTCACCACATTTAGTGTTAAGATGCTGCAATGAGCATTCTTGTTCATCACACAAGGACTCGGGACGAGCTATGGGTGGACAGCTCAGGACAGGAGAGCAAGATTTCAGACTGGATCTTCACTGTTCACATGTGGTCAGTGAAGCAAAACTAGAACAGTCCAGATTTGTAAAATGTGTGCAGACTGGCACAGGAAAGGGGACCAGCCAGCAGCCTGCTGGAATCCTCTCTCTCTCTTAGAAAATGAGGGATGTCTGCCTGTTGCAAAGCAGCCGGATCTCTTGACTGACACTCGGAAACAACAGTGCCAGGTTCAAAGAAGGCAGCTTTGAGAGAGAGAGAGAGAGAGACAGACACAGACAGAGACAGAGAGAGACACAGAGAGAGAGAGAGAGAGAGAGAGAGAGAGTGTGTGTGTGTGTGTGTGTGTGTGTGTGTGTATGGCGTGTCCATGTCACCTGTCCTGATGCTGATCCAGTCTCCCCATCAGTCCCATTCCAAGACCCTCACCCGTCAGTTGTTGCACTTTATTCAGATGTTGAAATGTGTGTCTGTTCAATAGTGCTGTATCCTTCACCACTGAACCAGGTAGTGGTCTTGGTTAGAAGCTCAGCGGGGAAGCAGGGAGGAGTCTGCTTCGGGTGTCACCTGTACCCCAGCTCACGTGGCTCTTCTTCCTTACCAGGCGCAACTACATTGAAGGAACAAAGATGCTGGGCGCCTACCTGTACGAAGTGTCCCAGCTGGGGGACTGAGGGCCAGTGTCTGGGGCGCCACGGCCGACGGACAGCACTCCGTCCTGCCCTCTGCGCGCTCCTCTTGCTGAGTGTGCCCCAGTGTCCTGCAGCGGCCCGCAGAGCTGGCCTCAGGGATTGCTAAGGGCGTGCTCCTCAGGCAGGGGGGTCACCGCCGATCAGTTCTCAGAGCTGCTGCTGTGGCGTGGCGCAGCCCTAAAGCTCAAGTCCCTCTGCAGAAGGTTCTGGCATCAGACTGGGGACACAGCGTGCCGTTCCTGCTCAGCTGCTCCCTTCTCCCCTTCCACACCTGCTTCCGGATAACCCCCACTCAGATGCTTGTGAAGGGTTCAGTGTTTGGGGAGGCTGTGGCCTCCAGGGGCCGCCCTGGACTCCCCGAGGGACCTGGGTCTTGGCTCCGAGTGGGGCTGGCTGCAGTTCCCATCTTTTCTTAACCCCTCAATACTAGAGCCAAATGAGATGTTGATTTTGTCCCAATCTGTGCTGCTAAATAAAGACCAACAACTGACATTGTAAAGAAACGGTGCCTGCATCTCACTGTGGGGCTGGAGCCATGGGAGCTGGGATGGTCCCCAGCCTGACCCTCCCTCTGTGCATGGGAGTGCTGCACGGTTGACTTGGGGACAGTGAACCCTCTGCCTCCGCTCACCCCCTTCTCTGTCATCCTAGATACACAAAGCCATCTGTAGCTTCCTCCCTGCCATCGTGGGTACCACTGATCACTCCCCTGGTCCAGGCTAGACAGAGAAGAGAAGGTCAGGGTGTCGGGGATAGAGTGCCAAGCTCTAGATGCTAACCAGGCTGTTACTGACTCGGGAGTCCTGACAGGTGGTGGCTCAGAGAATCTGTTTCCACACCTCACAATCCCCGATGTGTGCACGTCCACCTGAGATGGCCAGACCCACGAGTCAGCAACCAGGAGGGAGGCCAGGCAGTGACTTCAGCCGTGGAACCCACTGCTGCCGGTTCAGCTCTCAATTACTGCCCTCCTCCACCGGGATTTTGATGCCAGGAACCTCGACAGGAAGGTGGAGGGCGGCCTACTGAGGAGTGGTTGGTGGACGACATCTAGAGTCAACAGCCTAACACGTAACTGCACCGTGCCACCAAGGTTCTTCCCAATGAAAAGTGAAACAGACTTGCCGTGGGACAGCATGCTCTGCTGACCTCCACGCGCGCATGGTGCCCACAGGCCATCCCCACCTAGGGTAGCTGGATGCTGGTCGGAAAGGGCACCAGCCAGCCTGGATTCTCGCGGAAGTGGCCTAAAAGAAAAATCTACACACAGTATCCGTCCCCATGGAGAAGCTGTGATGATGGGATGATGCCCTCCTCACCAACTGTGCCATGGGCAAGGGGCTTGCAGTGTCCCTGCTTGCTGTCAGTCTCTGCTGGCCAGGGCAGTGCACTCAGGCTGACCGTGAGCCTTGGCAACGTGTGCCTCACTGTGACAGAGGTGAGGAAACAGGAAGGTCCTCTCCACTGTTGACACCCAGCTAACTTGTGACTTTGTATCCAACAAGGGGTGTCTGACCCACACCCGTCATCTTTCCATGGCTCTATCTGGCTATGAGAGCTTGATGAGTAAGGAAAACTAAGGAATCGATGCCTCCTTTCACTAGTGGTGTTGGGGAAGAGTATTGACTATACCATGGCCCGACCATCAACAAACCTGTCTGGAGGAAGCGCGACCAAGGTGCTTCTTCAAGGCAAAGATGGTGAAGCTTCACCTCTCATGTTGTCAGAAGGGGCCAGACTCTAGAGGTCGACATCAGGCTTGGAAAGTGCAAGGTCACTTAAAGAGGAAACCCAGCAGCGAGATGGTTGACACAGTGACAGTAACAGTGGGAGCATGGCAGAGGTCGTGAGGATGGCCCCGGATGAGGACAGAACAATGGGAGCGTGGCAGAGGTCGTGAG